GGAGGCGGCTGGCGGCGGAGGCTCGGCTCCCAGTAGCCGCACATCCCACAATACACCGCTAAGGAGCCCGACCCGAGCGCTCACCCTCCTCCTCTTCCTCCTCCTCCTCCTCTTCCTCCTCCCCTCTCCTTCCTCGCCGCTTCCCCAGGCACTCTCCCGGCGGCGGCAGCTGCGCCGCCAAAGCCCCGGGCCCCAGCGGCCCCCCACCCCTCACTCGCGCGCTCCCACACCGCCTCCCCCCTCCCCGGGGGAAGGCCTTTTAATTTATTTATTCTGCTGGGACTTAGGTGGGGGGCTTGGCTGGCGGGGGAGGGGGGGGTCTCCCCGGGCTCTACCTCCCGCGGCTGGGGCTACCCTCCGAGCCGCGGCCGCCGCGGCGTGCGCCTAGGGCCTCCAAAACTGTTTCCAAACTGCCAAGATCGGAGGTGGGCGCGTGGGGGCCCGGGGGAAAGGGCTGGGTTTTTTTGGGGGGGGGGGTGATTGTGTGTTTAGACGCTGGTAACTGTGGGGGGAGGCAAGACGACTCAAGACGAGTTGCAATCGAGGTATCTCTGCTCCGGCTTCCTCCTCGGCCCCGAGACCCCCTCCCCCTTGGAGCTGAGCTAGGGAGGGGAAACCAGGATTTTAACCAAATTAGCATTCACATTCCTGGGAGGATGTAGCCCTCGCCTGGACCTGGGTGATAGAAGCTTTTTGCTCTGTTTTTATTTTTGGAGAGGAGCGCCCTGTAATTGTCCTAAACACATGCTTCTCCCCCCCCTTCTTCCTCCAGCCACCAGCAGAGGAGAGAGTCCCCCTTTTTTGCATTTATCTTTTCCTTCCCCTTTCTTTATTAAAGGTCCGGGAGTGGCGGCGGCCAATCAGCGCGCGGCTTCCATTTTGTGAGTTCAACTCCGAGGCTCCCGGGCTTCGCGAGGACGCATTTGCAGCCCCCTCTGCCTCTCCTCTCGGGCGGCCGGGGCGAAGGAGCCGCCTTGCTGGGGCTTCGTGGTGGTGTATTTCATATTGGGGCTCTTTTCGGGGTTTGTAATTTGGCCGTGGGTAGGTAATTGGCTGGAGCAGGGCGGCAGGGCGCGGCAGCCAATCAGCGCGCGGCTTCTATAGGGCTTGAGTTATTAGACGCTGATCTCAAAACATCGTTCATCAGACACCAAGGAGAGGCCAACAGATGAGGGGAGCCATTTTTCTGCAATGGAATTAAATGGCCAAGTGGGTTTTTCCTTTGTTGCAAATGGGGAATGTTTTTCCTTTGACTCCACCATCCAGTTCAGGACGCCTCAGTGTTGTGTTTAACATTTGTCAACAGGCTAAAGGACTCACAATTGGAAGAATGAAGAAGACTTTTTAAAAAGATCTGGATTTTTCCTTATGACTTGGAATCCATCTTTGTCTTGTATAACTAGGTCATAGCACACCATTAATGTCAGCAGTTAACAATTTTGAATTCCAAAAAACCTAAGTAAATGACATATTTAATTTTTTTTCCTCTTTTTTTTTCTTGGGTGGGTGGGGGGAGCTTGGAGCTATCTTAATCTGTATTCTCTTGACTGAACAATAAATTTTTAAATATATATAGTTTCCTCTATTAAACACTTAAACCTGGCCATCTTATTAACTCCTTCTGCTCTTTTTTTTTTTTTTTTAACAAGGTAATGTTTTAAATGTATAGTTTTAGGACTAGCGAAATGGCAGCAACAAAAAATTGTAAGCAGTCGTTACGCTTTTAAGTTTTTAAAAACCTTTTACATTGTAAGTACCCAATCCATTCTGTCCTTACGCAGTGCAGTTTCTATGTTAATGTTGCTGAGATGTCCTTAATTTTCTGAACCTTCATCTGCATGTATGTCTTTGTCGCTCTTGTCTAATATAAGCCAGTAAAAATGCTTTTAGACGATTTTGCTTTTTATAAAGCTAAGGTTTTAGCTTTATGCTTTTGAAAATGTTTACAGCCATAAATGCTAGTCAGCTTTCTTCCCAGTAACGTACACTTTCTTTGAAAATCGATCTATTTGAAGAAAAACACTTCTGTTTTTCTCGTCTTGGTAGGGGAGTGGGTGAGGGAAAGGAAGACCTCTTTGTGTACAGAGACTAAAGCCGTCACAGGAAACTAGATTAAAACCTGGAAAACAAGTCCTAGCTGGTTCGAGCCAAACACCAACGTTAACTCGCGGGTATTTTCTATGGTGGTTGGGATGGCCGTGCGTCTTTTGCCTTTTGTTTGATTTGACTGTATTTTCGCCTTTTGTCTCTTAATGACGATCACACCATTGCTATATCCAGAGCAGTAAACAGTCCTCAGCGAAGCCGCCTTTTGCCAACCCAACCCTGGAAAGTTTGCAGAAGTGGAAGGAGCAGAAAATGCCATGAGAGTGTAACTTACAAAAAGGTAACAACAGGAAAGACACCACCATTCCCCCAATAATCCTAACTAAACAGTCCCCCCAAAAGATATTTTTTACATAACACGTCCAAAACCTCCGCCCAGCTTGATCTTCCAGACTCCATGGCACCGGGCTGAGCGGGTAAGTTAAAAAAAAAAAAAAAAGTGCCTTTTGTCCTTCGAGGAAATCTTTTTTCGAGCAGGCCAAGGGCTGCAGATGTTTGGGAGCTGAGGGGAGAAGGAGGTTTCTGGAGCTTTATGTTTGGCAGCCGGATGGGGAGGGGTGGGGGGACCAGGAGGGCTCCTCAGGCCCTTCTGCCCCTTCTGCCCCGGAGGCGAGGGGAGGGTCTCCCCCAGCGAGCTCGGGCATCCATGGAGCTGCCTGAGCTTATTCCCCCTGGCTTTTCTAGGTCTGAGCCTTGATGGGGAGGAAAAAATTGAAGTGTTTTCGAGATGGGGGGCTCAAAAGACGAGGAAACCTCCCCGCTCGGCCTAGGAACTCTTTCTCTTTTGATTGTGGGGCTAGCACTCTGAAGCCGGCTTTTCGGGGCTCCGGGGCGTGCCTGCGCTTCCTAAGCAAAAAAGGACAAAAGGCCGGCGTCCATGTTGGCACCATGACGCAGCATCTCTCCCGCCTGCCACCGAGCCGTGCCTGTTCTCCCGGCCGCGCTCGCTCCTCCCTCCCAAACACGAGTTTTATTTTCAGGTTCAGAGTAGAGCCGCCTGCCGGGGCCCGGGGCCGGGGCCGGGGCCGGGGAGCAGGCGGGCGGGCCGGGCTGTGGGTGGCTAATGGCGGCCGCCCTCCTCCTCCTCCTTCCTCCCTCCTTCCCCGGTTGTCGTTGGGGGCCCGGGGCTGATGGCCGCCCCTCGCCGGGCCCCGAGAGCCCGCAGGGCACAGCGCCCCAGGCCGGAGGGTGGTCGCGGATACTGTTGCGGGGGGCCGCGGACCCGGGGGCGTCGCGCG